GGCTGCATGGACATGCACATCAGCTCCTGGCCAATGGGGCCAAGACCTTTCTAGCCCTGAAGGTGAAGCACTGAGCTCCAAATTGGGATCACCCTGCAGCTTGGGGTCCTCAGCCTGATTCTTAGGCATGTTCTCCCTGAAGCAGCTCTGGTGCCTGGGGTGTTTGCATACACCCTAAGAGAGAGGGTGCACCAGGCAGAGTGAAGGTGAAGAAGGCAGGAAGCTTACAAGCAAGCAACTGCTGTGTTTCACATGCATGCACACACATGTGCACACTAGGGACATGCATATGCACAGGGGTGTGAGTGAGCACCCCTCACGCTGAATGTGGTGGGAAAGGTTCATGCCTCACTTGGGCTGATGCCGCAGTGGGAGAGGAGGCAGGCTGAAAGGGGCTAGAAGGACGCACAAAGAACCGGTGCCCTGGGGAGAGTGCGGAGCAGACTTCATGCAGCCTCAGTGTCTGACTTCATCGGGAAGGTCTGGCTCTGGGGAGCAGGGGGGTTGCCCCTGCTCAGGGTGGGAGGACTGTGCTAGACAGGGAGCATGCTCCATGCCTGCTCTGCATGCACAGAGAGAGCTGGCACTGGCACTGGCAGGCTGGCCAAGGCTGAAGCCTCGGGAGCCGCAGCTGTTGTGCTCAGCCCTGCTCCACCATACGCAGCCCAGGTGCAAAGGCTCAGGTGGGCCTGGCACATGGCAGTGAAATAGCTCCTGAGCTCTCTAAGGCAAGCTGCTGCTGCTTCTGCCCCACTGCTGGGGAATTCCCACCCAGCCCAGGATCTCGCCCAAAGCTGGTCTTCCCTCTCCAGCTTGGCCAGGCTGGGGGCTCTCCCCTGCCTGCAATGTCGGGGGCGGTGCCCCTCTCTGCGTTGCCTGATGGCTTGCAACAGAAGCCCAGGGGCTGGTCCAGGATGCCAGGAGAGGCTCCTTCACAGCTCCCTGGGAACGAAGGTAGCAAATTGGCAAAGATGAAAGGCTTTGGAGGGGCCGTTTGATCACTTTCTGACAGTCCGGGATCCCTTTGAAGTTATTTGTCCCTGTTTGAGGCTGAAAACATCACAGGATCACGCTACTCCCCCCCCCAAATGTCTGGCCTAGCCCACAACAGCCTCCCTGCTGGCTATTTCGGCTGTGCCATTCCTGGGCCAGGCCGAGAGCCCCCAGGACAGGTGGGAAGGTAGCTGAACTTTTTTCATCCCAACGTGGGGTTGGTTCTGGGCCCTGCATGAAGGTGCTGACAGCAGTAGGGGTTTCAGCAAACCAGACCTAAGGGACAATAACAGCTGAGCAGAGATGAGTCACTTCTGAAGCGCCGTGCACTGACTGCAAAAGGAGCAGTTTGCAGGTGATGCACAACCCCTCTGACACACCTGAGGTCAAGCGGACTGACTTATTTTTGCTGTGGGAGGGCCCTGAGATGATGGACATGTGGAAAGTTTTATGCATTTTAGGTGACAGCCCTCTTCCCACAGGGGGAAAGGGCCCTCGGGCCCCCACGTACTCAGCACCGCTGCCTGACATGCTAGCATCACCCTATTCTTCCCAATGGGGAAACTGAGGCATGCAAGCAAACTCCAGACTTGGAGAATGAGTGATGAGTTGGCAGGAGGCAGGGATTAGAGCAGAGTCCCATGGCCAGGCTTCCACCACTAGGCCCCGCTGCCCCGCTCCTTGCTTTTTCCCCTGTAACAGCCGGGGAAGGGGAAGCGCAAAGAACTTGGAGGTGGGCTGTGGGGGCCTGAGGGACGAGGCATCCATCTGCAGCTTCCCGTGCTGGGAACGGCTCAGCCTGATGCGCTTTGCTGCAGCGGTGCCATCTCCCACAAATCCAGCAAGCCCCGGTTTCCCCGGAGAAGGAAAGGGAGCTAGGGACTGATGTTTCTGTCCTCGCTGTGGGGCTTGCCTTGCCTTGCAAGGGGCTCTGGAGACGCACGTGCCAACCAGTTGCTTGAAAAAGAGGGCACGTGTCGCTAAAGCCTCTGTGGTCTCCGAATAGCTCTGAGCCCCAGATGTGCATTGCCACCTTGGTAGTGGCCAGCATTTCCCTGCTGCAGTCTTTCGTGTGGGATTAGGGGCTGACAGCTGGTCAGTCATGTTATGTAGCTGGTACCATGAATCAAAAGCAGGAATCCTGGTCTCTGCCCTCAAGCTGCAGGCTCCCTTGGCCATGGAGGGGGGTACCTGGATGCCCCTGGCTCAGCTATCGCTGGTGCAGCATCACCGGCTGTGCCGGTTTTGGGCCCCAAGGCCCTCCCACCAGTACCCCTCAATCCCGACCTGCAGGTCCCTCCCCACCTCCATCTACCCCAGTGTCCTCCAGCCTTGGTCTCCCCACGTTCCCTGCTGTTGAAGCCCCCCAGTGCAGAGCTGCAGCCCTCCCTGCTTCTGCAGGCTGCTCCCAGGGCATCTCTCCAGCAGTGCCAGGCTCTTCCAAGGAACAGAGATTAAAACAGGGCAGCACGCTCAGGCAAGAAGGAAACGCCAGCTCCATGCCTTGCAAAGGGCAGGCTTGTTTGGAAGCGGGGCAGGATTCCCTTGCATTTCACAGCCTCTATCCCCTGGCGGGGTCCAGTGCTAGGATGCCCATCCACCGTGACTCACCCACATTCGCACCCACGCTGCCCCGCCAAAGAGGCAGGAATG